TCTGTTAGTCTTAAAGGTGCCACAGGACTCTCTGTTGCTTTTTCCGATCAATGGTGGGCTTGATCCATTTCCCACTGAAGTCGTAGAAAGACTCCTGTTGATTTCAATGGGCATTGGATCAGGCCGTATGTACTTAACAAGTTGACTGTCCATGAGCCATGGTGTATCAAGATGCCTGTCTCCTGCTACCAGACCCAAGAGGAGAACAAAACTAGCTCACAGATGTATCTCAAGGGGGCAAAGTTCACATAATTTTGTGTGTTTAGTTTGATCATTTCAGTAACTAAATATCTTGTAATATGGCTGCTTCTATAGATATATCACACACACAAAGTGCATTAGAAGAACATTATTAAGGTTGCAAAGTCAAGCATTCAAAAGTTAGGAACTGCCAGAATGCCATGACATGTACAACCTGAATTTACACCTGCTACCCTTTTATGCTGTGATACGGTCTTTATTTACATGATCACATACTGGTGTTTTTTTTTTTTTTTCATCCAATCAGTGTTCCTCCACCACTTGGCTCCTGGTCCTAGACTCTTTGCCCAGCCAGTCCCAATTCTCCCCTCCCCCCGCATCCTATCTCCTCATAAGATTTATCTTCCCTCCCTGCCTACTTCTTTTCACTCACTCACTGGTTCTCAGTCCCAGGGCTTGGCTACACTTGCGAGTTAGAGCGCATTAAAGCAGCCCTGGGCTCCCTAGCTCACTACCCGTCCACACTGGCAATGCATGTAGAGCGCTCTGACTCCAGGGCTCCTGGTACTCCACCTCGGCGAGAAGATTAACAGTTGGTGCGCATTGGCTGGAATGCCTGGGCATCAGTGTGAATGAGGTATTGCGTTACTGCGCTCTGATCGGCCTCCGGAAACATCCCATAATCCCCTTAAGTCAAGTGGCCACTCTTGTCATTGTTTTGGAATCACTGCAGGCATGCCGATATGCCCTTTGAAAGCTCCATTTCTGACAGCCAGCATGCTTATCTGCTCCGAGACAAAGCAACCATTA